GATTATGCGAAAATGTTGGCGAAGAAAGATGATTCGAGTGGTTTTTAATGGAATGGGGAGCAGTAATCGATAGGTCAATTTGAAAATTTTACGTACTTTGAAATATTCGTGAAGGTACATATAATGTTGAAATTTCTGTTGCTGAAGTTTGTGAATTTCTAAGTCATCAAATTATCGGTTCATCAAGTTTCAGACACAAATTTAATTTATTTTAGATTGGTAGATTGATAGATTGATAGATTGGTAGATTGATAGCTTGGTAGATTGATAGATTGGTAGCTTGATAGATTGGTAGCTTGGTAGATTGCTAGATTGATAGCTTGATAGATTGGTAGATTAGTAAATTGGTAGATTGGTAGATTCATAGATTGGTAAATTGGAAGGTTTATCGTTTGATTGATTGGTAGGTTTGTCGTTTGGCACATTAGTAGATTGACAGATTGATAGATGAGTAGATTGGCAAATTAGCATATTGATAAATTGGCAAGTCTTTGACTTGATAAATTAGTGAATTAATAAATTAATGAATTGGTAAATTGATGAATTAGTAAATTAATGAAATGGCGAATTGGTGAACTGATGAATCAGTAAATTGATGAATTAGTAAAATAATTAATTGGTAAATTAATGAATCGGTAAATTAACAAATTGGTGAATTGGTAAATTAATGCATTGGTGAATTAATAAATTGGCGAATTGATAAATTGATGAACTAGTAAATTAATGAATTGGTGAACTGGTAAATTGATGAATTGGTAAATTAATGAATTGGTGAACTAACAAATTGGTGAATTGGTAAATTAATGGATTGGTGAATTAATAAATTGCTGAATTGGTGAATTGATGAACTAGTAAATTAATGAATCGGTGAACTGGTAAATTAATGAATTGGTGAATTGATGAATTGATCAATTAGACAACTAATGAATCCATGAATTGGTAAGTTGAATTCGTGAACTGGTAAATTATTAAATTGATGCAAATAAAAATCTCCAATTACCAAATCCCTAAATCCCTAAATCCCTAAATCCACAAATCTCCAAATCACCAAACTTCAAAATTGCCAACTTACCAAATCCCTAAATTTCCAGATTCAATAATCTAAAAACCATAAATCAGAATTAACCATGATCAGCATAAAAACCGCGAGATAAATGGTTCCCGACATTTGTTAACGCAACTCTTATCCGCAATTTCGGGCTTGCAGATATAAAAAAAGAAATAAAATGGCGGTACCAGGGTTCGAACGGCAGAGCCACCCATCGCAAGCTTTTACGACGCAGACCATAAAAAAAAGCAATTGTGATCTGAAATAAAGAAGATCGAAATTTTTAATATCCTCACGTTCCTCGGAAAATTTAACGCGGACATCAAAGATTCTGAGCCTCTTTGTTTCGGATCTCGATACAATTACAAGTCTCATGTCTAATTTTGTATAAATTTCTATGTAGGATCTGATCATTATTCTCGTATGTCCACATGTTTCTTTTTTTTACATCTTCAATTTTATGTTTTTTTTATATGTTTAACTTTACAGTTTTTATATGTTCAACTTTATATTTTCTTGCATCTTTTTACATTTTTTAAAGCGTTGAAAGCAATTTGGTAACAGAAACGAACAAGTTCAAAAATACAAATTGACTTTATTTTTAAAAAAGAAAGTTAAGTATAACATCGGAGGTTTCTTCTGATTAACAAATTTATTTTATTGAACGATTTTTTGTGGAAAACGCTCTTTTATTGAACTATCAAAACTGTCTTAGAAGTCGTGATGATTTAGCACCTTAGAGATGTGAACCGCAAATGGCGATTCGAAGGAAAAATTAGGAATGAGTGAAATGTCGTAGAGTATCACCATTTTGATTATTTTAAAAATTGAAATGACTAGGTGGAATATTTCTCGAATAAGAAGTAGAGATATCAATCCATGAGTTGGCGCGTGAGCCAAAGTAAAAGAAGCTTCCTCGTGAACTTCCATTTCGGCAAATAAGAATAATGAACATAACTGCTGAACGCATGTAGCACTATCTCACTCACTCTCGAGACGTTTGCCGACTATCATTTGGAGGTTAGGAAGCTTTGGAATAAGGTGTTCGATGTTTTGAGAAGATGTACGTTTCGAAATTTGGAGCTTTAGTTTCAGAAATTTTGAATATTCGTAGCTTTGGAATTTGGAAGATCGAAAGTTAAGAAGGTTGAATGATCGAATTTAGAATGATCGAAATGTGCAAAGGTTAGGACTTTCAAAAATTGGAATTCAGGAACGATGGGACATTGGAAAGTTGAAACTTTGGGTGATTCAAACTTTGGAAAGTGGGGACTTTGGAAGGTTAGAATTTTGCAAGGTTGGGACTTTTCAAGGTTGGAACATAGGGAAGGTTGGGACTTTGGAAAGTTGGAACAGTGGAAGGTTGGAACTTTGAAAGATTGAACCTTCGGATGATTCAAACTATAGAAGATGAGTACTTTGGAAGGTTGAAACATTGCATGGTTGGGACTTTGGAAGGTTGGAACTTTGCGAGGTTGGATCCTTGGAAGGTTGGGACTATCAGAAGGTGGAACTTTAGAAGGTTAGAACTTTGGAAGATTGGAACTTTGGAGGGTTGGAACTTTGGAAGGTTAAGACTTTGGAAGGTTAGAACTTTGGAAGATTAGGACTTTGGAAGGTTAAAACTTTGGAGTGTGGGAACTTTGGAAGGTTGAAAGTTTGCAAGGTTGGAACTTTGGAAGGTTAGAACTTTGGAGTGTTAGAACTTTGTAGTGTTAGAACTTTGGAGTGTTGGATCCTTGGAAGGTTAGAATTTTGGAGTGTTGGAACTTTGGAAGGTTGAAACTTTGCAAGGTTAGAACTTTGGATTGTAAAAACTTTGTAGTGTTAGAACTTTGGAGTGTTGGAACTTTGGAAGGTTGGATCCTTGGAAGGTTAAAACTTTGGAGTGTTAGAACTTTGGAAGGTTAGGACATTGGAAGGTTAGAACTTTGGAAGGTTGGAACTTTGGAAGGTTAAGACTTTGGAAGATTGGAACTTGTGAAGGACAACAATTAGTGTGTGTGTAGCTCTTCTAAACACATTAGCCTCTTCAAGCGCCATCTCATGGGTTGACAGCGGTACATTGTACGAATATCTATACAATCATGTATTCGAAAAATATTTTCGACTGTTACAACTTTAAAAATAATTAAAATAGTGATGATCATAGTTCTAACTCTATTCTCCGCAATAGAAAAGGTAAGAATTCTATGCACGATAGATCACTATTTGGTATCAAAAGCAAAGGTATAGACATCTATATTTATAAATAAATAGAAACTGGTAATTATAATAAATCATCTTTAGTAAAATCGATTTTGAATTTCGCACTATTCAGAATATTAGAACAAGAAAAGTGCAAAAATTCACGTATATAAAATAATTTTCATAATCACATGTTCAAGGAAAAAATTATTTATCCTATCTAGATATAATGATCACATCTAAATAAGCAGTTATAGTAACTTACGTTATTAAATGAAAAAAGGAAAATATTATACCTATTTATCTTAGTCCATCAATTACTGTAAGCTTATAAATTTCTCATTCATTTTCTTTGGACACCAGGTATACACCATAAATGGCGGTATTAAACGTACAACTAGTATTAAACGTTTCCCAACCAAACGTTAATTCCCCAATGGCACATCAAACTTTACCTATACGTATACTTCTGTTACGGTAGAACCTCAATTAACTGAATCAACATAAAATTTCACTATTGTAATTTAGTTTATTGTTCTCTGTTTGCGTTTGTGTGATTAACTGGATTGGAGGGTTATGTTAATTTTCTTAGACACTTGTAAAATGTAAATATAATAAATTATCTGAGTTTTCAAGTTAGAGTTTCAATTTTTGTATGGGTTAGAATATTTAAGTATTAGATGCAAAAATCAATTCGACGCCTTATGCAAAATTATAAGGGTACTCTAAAAATTCATTTTTAAAGAATTATAGTACTATTACTTTAGTTATAGCATTTGAATAGTATAAGCACCTAAAAAAGTATAAGAATTGTTTCAATTTAACATCAGAGTTAATTGTTAATTATTTTTGAGATTGTTCCCAAATTCTCATATATTTCAATCATAGGATTTTAAAATTTCTAAATTGTCAAATCTCCAGAGACCACAATTCTTAAATTGTCAGATCTCTAAATACCTAACTTCTCAAACTTCAAAATTCAAATCCAAAAATTTCCAAAAATCATCACCTATTTCCTTTAGTTTCCAAATCCCTAAATTCCCAAGTTTCTACATTTTCAAATCCCTAAATCTTTGAGTCTTGAAAATCCTCTAACCTCTATTCCCCAAATTCTCAAATCCCCAGATCCCTAAATTCTCAAATTCCCAAATTCCCAAATTCCCAAATTCCCAAATTCCCAAATTCCCAAATTCCCAAATTCCCAAATTCCCAAATTCCCAAATTCCCAAATTCCCAAATTCCCAAATTCCCAAATCCCCAAATTCCCAAATTCCAAAATTCTCAAATTACCAAATCCCAAAATCCCCAGATCCCTAAATTCCCAAATCCCCAAATCCCCAAATCCCCAAATCCCCAAATCCCCAAATCCCCAAATCCCCAAATCCCCAAATCCCCAAATCCCCAAATCCCCAAATCCCCAAATCCCCAAATCCCCAAATCCCCAAATCCCCAAATCCCCAAATCCCCAAATCCCCAAATCCCCAAATCCCCAAATCCCCAAATCCCCAAATCCCCAAATCCCCAAATCCCCAAATCCCCAAATCCCCAAATCCCCAAATCCCCAAATCCCCAAATCCCCAAATCCCCAAATCCCCAAATCCCCAAATCCCCAAATCCCCAAATCCCCAAATCCCCAAATCCCCAAATCCCCAAATCCCCAAATCCCCAAATCCCCAAATCCCCAAATCCCCAAATCCCCAAATCACCTAACCTACCTTTAAAAATTCCTACACCCTTAAATTCCTAACTCCCCAAATCCCAGCTCTCCAATTTCCCAAACACACCAAACCAACAACATTCTCCCCACCCTCCAAATAACACGAAAATTACCTTCAAAAGTCCATAACCAACCTTACATACCATCAAAGGCACCGAATTAATTGGTACACCCAATAAAACCCTCTCCCATTTTCACCAATCGACCATACCATTAACCAATATTCTGCTAATCAAGGTTCTACCGTATCGCGAAAGTACAACTCTACCTTCGATCCACCTTCAACCGCAGGCTACCCAACCTGCACATCTCGCAAATCCATTTCGCAGCTAATTCGATGATCTCGTTAATCCACGAGCAGACGGTCAACTCGTAACCCTTTCACGTTATCGAACACCATCGCGTACATACGTACCAAGCCTTTCACACGTGATGTCACATCCCTTCCCAATTATCTGACATCGTAAACCAATCCTACAAACATATATTTATCTAACAACTCCGCACAGATCACGTTTAATGCACGGAGCATGCGCAGTTACGCATCAATGAACTCATAAGTGGCTTTAATTCCGTGCATTAAGCGAGCTTCCATTAATATTTTGCTGATCTGACGACATCGATGTTCAGCTGATGCGATCGATGTTCAGCTGACGTCATCGATGTTCGGGTGACATCGTAACAAGATTGGTAGCGACATCAAGTGTGAAAGCGGCTGTACGTCATCAGTTAACCATCGCCAAAGATCAAACGTGGATCGCGTTAACAATGGAAGCATAATCCACGGTGTGTCGCCACCGCGTCGGATCGAAGCGCATTCCGCGCGGTTTGGTTTCCAATTTCGCTAATTACGTCGACGCATTAAACCGCGATGCGGCCGGCTGAAATAAAGGAAAAGAAACGCGCACGATCGATCGTCCGTTTTAGCCGTAACGGCTGTATAGAAAGTCGCCGATGAACATTTCCCGGTCGAACGCCTCGCGATGACTGGGAGAGCTAATGTTCGATCACCTCCATTTTGCGGCCGTTAAATGGCCGCCGTCACACGGCCAACAGCGTGTGGTTGTCGTTGATGTCCAACAATGGACGTCGGTTCGGTTGGCCAAGGTGGTGCTGGATGCTCCTGCAGGAGAGCCCGCGTACTAGTTGTTATCGCCTGGACGAACGGAAGTCAGCACTAGGCTATGCCACGGTGACCACCCCCTCCGGTTCCGGGGACCAGCAGTTGTCGGACAGCCAACAACCGACCACCACAGTCACGGCGCCGATCAGCAACGCTAAGAAGATGTACGCCTCCGCGTTCCCTAAGGAATCTGTTCGGGTGACAGCCGATTTGCAGCTTTCATTTGTGACTGTGATCCGTGCGGGCTAGGTGCTAGGGCAAGATGCTCACAAACGAAGCGTTGCGATTTGAAGGAAGGAATGAGAAGCAATTCTTTAATAACAGTTGTGTAACAGACTTGAAATTTTATAGCTGGATATTTTAACCCTCACATCTGATCGCTTTACTCAATTTTCTCCCAGTTTTTCAAGTTGTCCTTTTCGAAATTGTCCATATTTGATCTAAATCCATGTATCGTTTACTGTCTCAAATTTTCCACACATCCTCCACAAGTTTCCCAAATTTATAAACTAACCTAACGCGAATTACAAGGTTCTTTCGAAAAGTTAATCGTGCTACACGAGTCCATTTTCACAACGTGCAATTTGCATATTAAATGACCTAAACGATCAACATACGGTAAACCACGTTAAACTCTGGCATTATCCGTGTACATTTTAACGAAACTAGCAGCAAAGTATGGCAGAAAAGTTTCATATCGATGTTAGGTTTTCGGCTTATCAGCGCAAGCAGCTTCTCATCCGTTGCGAAGAAAAGTTTCGAACTTTATGGCTCCTTGGTAACAGCTGTCAGCGAATCTTATATTGCAATAGTATCCTATAAACCGTCTCCGCAGATGGTTTCGTCCCGATGAAAATACATTTTCGTTACATAAAACGGTAATACGATATTGCGGAACCATGAAATTAGGCAATAAACACGTAAAACGTTTCTGCACGGTTTTGATGGAGTTATTTCGGATTCAGTGAAATGTCTGTCAAGTATGTCGGGCGTCAATTATAATATTCTAAGAGGCGTGAAAAATTCATGAAACGAATGAACGGTACACGTCTTTTCTCTCCGTGATTCGAATTTCACTTTCAAATTTCGGCGTCATGTAGATCGACACATCCCAGATTCTACCAGCGAATACTTTGGATTTTGCATCGAAAACTATGAGAAACATGGGAAGCTTGAAATTTAGTTTCATCTCCTGAAAAGATTACCCAGTTTTTTTCGTGAAAGGTTATCAAATTTTTATACAATGTAGTCTGAAAGGATTTTGTTACACACTGTATTTAAAATAAAAATGTTTGATGGAAGGGCTGCTTGAACATTCGATGTGAACATGCATCTCAATCTTTATGGATACAAACTGCATGCGGAATTACGTTTGTGCAAGGTTAAATAGCTGAGCGAAGGATTTTTTAAAAAGGTTGGTAAACAATATTAGGAACATGTAAGAGATAGCAAAAGCTTAAGGCGTATAGATAAGTAGCCAGATAAGCAGCTGGGAGTGAAAGGAATATGCAAGATCTATTTTTCACTGTCAGTTGCTTACTTGGTCATTTACCTAAACCTTGGAATGCATGTCCACTTGAACCCGTGTAAGTTAACAGGTGTATTTTTTGTAATGTGGTAGCATATTGAGTCAGAAATCGTTCAGATGGAGCTAACTGTCAGTCATATAGATAGTTAGAAGTGAAAGATGTGGACTGAGAGATCTTTCTCACTCCTGAGCACTGATATGGATCATCAAGTTACCAGACAAGTAGTCACATGTGTCATCAGACAATATCAAACAAATACCTAACCATTCTAAGAGCTATTCAAGTTAGAAAAGCACCCAGACCTATACAACTAGCCGGACTAGTAGCTATACAACTAGCCAGATAAGTAGCTATACAACTAGCCAGATAAGTAGTTATATAACTAGCCAGATAGTTAGCTATGCATGTATCCAGATAACTAAGAATAAAGAAGTCAACTAGTATCAAGTAGATACATGTCTATTCTAAGTGCTGTCGAAGCTAAACAGACACCCAGATAAGTATCCAGACAAATGGATAAGTATCTAGCTAAGTGAATAAGTACCTAAACAAGTAGTTAAGATTGCAGGACTACTCTCAAATGGACACATGTCCATCCTAAGTGCAGTTTAGGCTAAACAAGCACTCAGACAAATAGGCACACAAGGAACCAGACAAGTAGCTGAACTACTAGCTGGACATGTTAAGACTGAGGATACTACTCTAATGGACACATCCTAAGTGCTGTTCAAGCTAATTGAGCACTCAGACTAACAGTTACAAGGACTCAGACAGTAGCTGACTACCCAGACATGTTAAGAATGAAGATACTACTCTCAAATGAGCATATGCCTATCTCAAGTGCTGTTTAAGCTAGATAGGCACCTGGACAAGTAGCTATACAAATAGTCAGAATGAAGAAGTGGACTATTGTCAAAATGGATACATATCCCTAGAGCCATTTGAGCTAGACAGGTACTCTCATAACTAGTTGGAGTACCTAAACAAGCAGATAAGAATAAAGACTACTCTCAAATGGACACATGCCCAAGTGCTGTTTAAGCTAGATAAGCATCTGGACAAATAGCCATACAAATAGCTGGAAAAGTAGCCATCATTCAGCTAGAATGAAGATTATATTGAAGATATCAAATAGACACATTCTTCCCAATACACAAGTACCCACATAAATAGCTGGATGAGTACCCAGTCAAACATTTAAGAATGAGGATACTTCTATGATAGGTAGGCTACTCTCAAACGGTTATATGTCCATTTCTAAATAGACACATATTCTTCCCAATACACAAGTACCCACATAAATAGCTGGATGAGTACCCAGTCAAACAGTTAAGAATGAGGATTCTTCTATGATAGGTAGGCTACTCTCAAACTGTGATATGTTCATCTCCGGCGATATTTAAACTAGATACCCGAACAGGTGATCAGCGACAGAATCTCAGCACAGAAACTCCCAGTATAACGAGTCGAGGGTTCATCAAGCAGACATGATCGTTCGGCAGTAAAAGGACGAAGCGTAGGCGCATGCAACGGATAAAGAAGAAAGGGTTTACCTAGAGGTCCCTTCGATTTCCATAGTCCCTTGATCAGCATGGGGTCGCCGCGGCGCCAGTCGCGCCACCCTCGGCCCCGACGAACCGGTCCCTCGGACCAACCCGCGTCACCACCGGCGGC